CCAGTGAAATATATTTATGTTTGTGGTTGTAATGTGACAAAATATGGAAAAGTTCAAGGGGTATGAATACTTTTGCAAACCACTGTATTATGACTAATATGATGTAATTAAACAAGGTCTTGTTTTACTGAGTGTAATACCCATAATGCACCACTAGGTGGCGACATATATAAACTGAAATAACTTTAGTTTCCTGTCAGTTTTTAATTGTTTAATGAGAACAAGATCAGGAGAAACTGAGACAKTTCTGAWGATCTGTTCTGGTTGGGTTCATAAAGCCCAAAGTGATGGGGGTCATGTGTGAAACCTGCTGCTACGTCATCGGTTCTGAACGGCTCCGGAGTCCATASAGTCTGAAACAACTGGGGGTTTAAATATTTGGTGTAATGTGGACTGGGCCTGAAACTGGACCGGTCTGAATGTTCAGTTCCTGGATGAGGCAGAGCTTTATCCTTACCAGAAGAGATTATTAATAAGATGGATCAGAACCAAACCGAGCAGGTCCAGAAAGAAGTTTATCCTGAAGAAGAAATGAACTGCAGATTAAAACTGTTTATATGACTGATAATCCCCCGTGGAAGACTTCAGCTCTCTGCTTTCACAGATTATCTCTCATTCAGAACCTGCAGATGCTTCAGGAGTTCTGCTGCTCAAGTGTCCCGACCCGCTCCGTCTGTCTGAGAGCAGAACAGTCAAAATGTAAATTCCTCTGAGAATACCAAGACGTCATTCTGAGCACAAAGCCCGTCCGGGTCTCTGATCTCAGATGAGTCTTTCAGCGGCTGCAGATGGAAGCCGGGTTCTCATCATGTGTGGAAGGATCCGTTTCAGCCCGCTGGACTCACGTGGTCCTCTCCAGAACCCGGTGACACGCCAACAATGCATGTCAGCGAGGTCAAGGAGGAGGCCCGGCTCCACGCTGGGCCCAGAGACGGAACGTCACACTCAACTGATCTGAGCGGACACGAATACAGAACCAGGTCCTGGACAGTCCTGGTTCTGGTCCAGGATGTTCCTTGAACTCTGATCTCAGATTGAATAAAACAAACAAAATTACAGAAGTTTAAGTGACAAACTTTAGGTGCCAGGAGGGGAAGAAAATTGTGATTAGACTTAGGAAAACAATAAAAAAAACACCAGCTTCACAAACAAAAATATAACACAAGAAAACATAAAAACACAAAMATTTGATTAAAACAAATAAAAAAATCTAACAAAAACATATATAGAAAATAAAAAACCCAACATGCAAGAAGTTTCTGTAAACTTGTGCAAAAAGAAAAGACTCTGAAGGGGCTGTGGTGGCCCACTTGGWTCAGGATGACCCCAAAGCAAATGAGTTGTCGATGTTCTTCCACTGATTATTCTGTTCTGTTCTGAGACATTTTGCTWACAGCAATTAGACTTACTTTGAACATCCAACATCAGGTCTGACTTTAAAGGAGACATATCATGCCAAATCCACTTGTTTAGTTGTTGGATCCATGTTGTTACTTGGAGTCTTTAGGAGCGCACAAAGGTTGAGTTTAGTCTTTCATGTTGCTGMAAAGATCTTTATGTTCTGTTGGATCATATTTTTCAACCTGTTCAGTTTYCTCTATTTTCAAAATAGACTTGCTCTGTAAGGTCTGGACTTACCAWCTACAGTTTGGTGGTCTTCATTCTCCTCTGGCTCTGGGTCAGACTCTGGTTCCAACACGTAAGACTGGATGGACAAGTCTCTGTTGTTGACATCTTTGAATTAATTTGTAAATAAAAAGTGTCTGCRCTGCTATATAGTCGTAAACCCCTCTATCAAACTAGAATGGACCTCTCTGGAAGCTGGAGGGGGCCGGGGTGTGAAGTGCCRTGTTTGGATTTAAAGAGACAGCCTCAAAACGAGTTGATCTGAGACASACTTCAGAAAAGAGGTGAAAGAGGGG